TGTTTTGTGATTAGTTTTCAAATAATGTTACAGTATTACTAAACTAGTCCGGCAGCTTATGGTTTTATTGAGAGTGAGATTCAAGCACAGGTGGCCGGTGGAAATAAAGCCAACCGTTGTCAATTATTTGTCGATAAAGTCAATGCCACCAAACGTGACACTCATAGACTCATACCATAGACTTCGTGGGAACCAAATTTCAATTTATATTTAGACAAAAAGAATTTCAAAATTGGGACTTCGTCGCGATTGAGACAGAACAATCAAAATATTACTTGTCATTATTTTTGCTAATCCCGTATTTGTTAGACTGATATTATATTACGCTTTCGTCTCTTCTATTTTTATCACTAACTATATTCAATAATCATCGATTAGTTTTACTGTTGACATTTTGTTAACAACCATATTATTAAATATATAACTTTTTGCTTTTAATGTCATAAATATATAACTTTTTTCCCTTAATGTAAGATACTGTCAAACATTGGTTGTGTGACGTATTGATAATGCCATGATGGCGTGATATTTGAATATCATCTTAACATAAAATATTATGAATGTAGGAGGGCTCATAAGGTGATGATTATAGAACTTAGATATGAATCTATATCTATGATAAGAATCTCCTTTCCAACATTTTCAAAGAAAATACTTTTCAAACATATTATTGATTGTTTTAAAAATAAATTATTTCTTTGATATATTTATCTTTAATATACATGAAGAAAGTGTTAAGATAATGTAAAGCTCCAAATAGAAGAATGGTTAGTACTGTGGAGATTTATGTGTGTGTTGAATTTTTTTATAATTGACATTTGAGCCGATGATTAATCCTAATGACAGACTCGGACAAATATGTTTCTTTATGGTAAGGTAAAATCCTGACAAGTGGTCGGTGACAGACAATCAGACGAATCATGAGTAGAGTTGTGAACTTAACCCATAATCTATGAACTAGTCCCAACCTAGTATTGAAAAAGCCTCCTTTTAGGAAGCTCCTCAAGTGAGGACCAAAAAAAAGCCTCAACCCCCAAAACTCCCTCTTAAGTGGGTCAGGATCACGATTAAAGTGAGTTTAGCCTCATTATAAAAATTTAATTAACTTTTAAAAACAATATTATTTATATATACATATAAAATTATATATTTTATTAAATAATTTAATATATTGTAATTTTATTATATTTAAATCAATATTTTTATATCATACTTATTATTGTGTTATTAAATAAAAATACATAATAACCCTTTATATTTTTGAGTTTTCATATATTAAATAAAATATATATTTTTATATTTTATAAAAATATAATCACTTTATAAATAATTTATAAATAAAAATCACTTTTTAAATTTAGTTTGGCTTTACAATTTTTTTAAGATCCGTCCTAACGTATAAATTTTATGAGATTTATTTCAAAATTTGATATAGTTATCTCATAATCTAATAAATGTCTTTGTTAGAATACAGTAGAGTTGAGCATCGTTAAATTGGATTAGTTGTTATTGTTATTGTTATTATTATTTTTTGTTATTGTTATTATTGTTTTTATTTTTATTTTTATTTTTCTGATGAACTTGTTGAGTAACTACAATACTTGAAGAATTAATTTGTTCACAGTTAGGGAATCAACTTGAGAAATAATGTGCTCCCACACTCACCTTTATAACTAACTTGAGCACCCTAAAATTGATTAAATTTTTATTCAGAAGATAAATAGTTTGTTAAAAGAAAAATAATGAGAGGTTATTAAGTTAGTCTTTTTTTTTTAAAGTATCTGATGACACCAATTAACATACGTAAAATGAGATAAAAGAATAAGTTTATACTGTATTTATTTGTTTTATTATTCTTGTTAATAAAATTGTGTGTAGATAATTATAGTTGGGATTTTTTTAGTTAATTTTAATTTCCTGTAGTTTTTTGTTCCTTGATAAAAAAAAGTAGTATACAATAGAATAGTAATTAAAGTATTATAAGTTGAATTTTATTAAAATAAATATTATAACATTAAATAAAATAATAAGTGATGAATTTCGTTAAGGAAATGCGTTTAATAATAATAATAATTGCAAACTAAATGCTCTTTGAGAAACATATGAAAAGAGAGAGACATAACCTCCTGTAATGAACTTCTGTATAAGTACTTATATTCTAATCAAACATTTTGTAAGCCAATTGAAATAATTTATAAAAACTCATAATACTGGAATATATGTATTGTTAATACAATTATATGAATGAGAATGTAATCCTAAAAGCAATTACATTTTTCATTTAAAATAAACATTTTTTTTCTAAAAAAAGTTTATGGTTAGTCTTCTCTTAAAAAACTTTTATAGATATCTTAATTTTATTAATTTTTTCTATGAGAACTTTTTGGTTTTGTAGATTTTTATGACTCTAATTCACATGGATCATAATCAAACCATATATAAGAAGTCAAATTGACAGGTGTAATCATAAATAGTGAAAAGTAAGAAGTGCTAAGTAGTGTGACTATGGATAAATTCAAAAATTGTAAAAGACCTATGTGTGGAGTGATATAAAAAACAAATCTGTAAAAACTTAACCCAAAACGGATAATATCTTACTATATTGTGAAAACTTTTATGTTATACCTTTTTACAAAAGGAAAATAAACCAGAGATTTTCAAATATAAATAAAAATGTTTAATAATTTTTGATAAAATATTTATGAAACTTAATAAACAATTTTCAGTTTTTCTTTTGTATTTTTAGTGTAGTTTTTATTTTATTTAAAATAATTTAACGTGATATTTTGTTAAAGTGGTGTTAAAACCTGTTGGAAAATAAGATGTTGAAATATTCTTGAAAGACTGTTTGAATAGAACTTTTGTTCTCCGGAAAAAAGTACAGAAATGAAAAAGAAAAGAAAAGAAAAGAAAAGAGTAATAAGAAGTAAAAGGAAAAAAACTTATAAAAAAATAAGCACTAATGCATTTCTCAACTTTGAATAGAATTAACATTGTTTTAATACATTTTAAAAATAAATAGTAGATAAAAAAAAGTAATAAATTATATCAAGTAAACCTCACAGACATTAAAAAAAATTATTAAGCTAAAATATAATTGAATTTCAGAGTTAAACTAAAAATATAAACGGTTTGACTATGGTTGTGCATAGTACCATCGCGTATAAATTATTTGACCATGGTTAAATTGCATCTGTGCAGAGTACCATCGTGTATAAACGGTTTGACCACCGTTAGCGCCGCAATAGGTTGAAGAGCTTGATCTGTACGCCTTAACTACCGTATTTCACAAAGCAAAACTTGTCATGCAAAATCTCTATTATGTGTGTATGACTAAATATAATATATAGAAACTTGGAGATATGGTCGTAATATAATATAATAAAAGAGATATTTTTATAACAACTTAATATATATAAATAATTCATGTAAATAGTTGATACAAATGCATGTTAATTAACTACTTTATATATAATTTTTGTTTGTTTTGATCGATTATTTTTGTGTTCTTGTCCTTCCTAGACGCATTATGCTTTCTCTCTCACTAGAAACACTTTATTCCGACGAACCCACTTTTTGAAGGTTAGTTTTCGTTTTCGTTTTGAAGAACTTATTTGTTGAACTTGTTTGTTGTTATTTGGTTGAACTTGTTTGTTGTTGTTGTTTGATTAAAATTTTTTGTTGTTTGTTAGTGTTATTTGTTGTTGATACTATACTTCATAGTTTATGCTTTATAAAATATCAAAAACTGAAATTTATTATTTTTCTGCTTTTCATATCTAGTAGAGTTGTAAAAAAAGATTACAATTAATTAAAAAAACTTAATGATATTCGACCTGAAAGAGCAAAAGACAACAACATTATACGATATTTTTGTACTAGTGATTTGAGAAGACAACTTATAGATTTACTAAAATCTCACTATCTTTATGAATATGAATTTATTTTATTTAAATGATTCAAAATAAGATTTGTTTCGGATAAGATGTTGAGATTCCTTACTCAAAGCACTCCCAGTTGTTTTGAAGACTGGATGAGCTTCCTGAAGATCTTGCATTATCCAAATTGCATATCTTTCCCTTGTTCATGCCGTGGGAGCGGGTACCTGTCAAATGCACTCAAGTTAGTGGTTTATTCAGTAATTTTATAATAAGATTAAGTAATCAGAATTAATTACTTGTCTTTTTCGTCAAACATATAATAAATGACATTATTCTTATTAATTGTCAATCAATGACTATTATTCTCATTAGTTGTCCATTAGTAGTTATTATTGCTCAAATTAATTGTCATTATTGACTATTTCAAATCGGTCGATCATTCCCTTTATGGAGGGTCGACCGTCTAATCATTGGCTGACCGGTGGTCATAGAGTCCACAAGCTCAAACAAGCTTTTTATTGAAAAAAGTGCGCAAAAATTATTATGAGTTTAAGACAAGTTGTTCATGTTATACTGAAAAATTTATTTTTTTTAAACTTAACTGAATAAAATCATATTTTATTTTATTTTATTTTTGTTTGGAATAATAAAATAAAATGGTCATCATAATCTAATAAAAAAAATTTAAAGACTCAATACAACCATTTTTTTAATGAATAATCTATTCAAAATAGTAAAATTTATGAAAGATTTAAAATTAAATTGGTTTTTTTTTTGTATATGTGAAGACTCAATTAAAGACTTGATACTTAATAAAACACAATTTTTATAAAAAAATTAATTAAAAATACTTAAATTTACGAAAAAGTTAAAATTCAATTAAATTAATATTTTAAAATACAATATCTAATTAGTCCGAATCATGAATCTAAAACAAAATATATATTAAGAATAACTAATTTCACTTATTTAGATAACAAGAGAATGTACAAATTTAAAATTAAAAAAAAAATTGACTATATTTCCTCCCATTTGAAATATTAATAAACATATTTCCACATAAAATATAAAATGTAAACGCACGGGGATACGATACAGTGTGATGACGTAAGATCTGTGAAGAGTTTTCCTAATATAATAAATAATATATATTTTGTGGTTGAATCCATGATTAATTATTAATGTGAATAACGCGGCCTCAGAGACACACATTGTTTGACGGTCTCGGTCGCTGTTTCTGGGAAGCAGCTAACTAGGAAACAAACATTCTCATCTCCATCGCTTCCTCTCCTCTCCATATATATATATATATATATGTGTGTGTGTGTGTGTATATGTTGTATCCCACCCTGCACCCATCTAGCACAGAAAAACATTAGGTGAAAACACACCATAAAAAAAGGGAAAGAAAGAAAAGGATCAAAACCTTCCTCCTTCTGTCCGTTACAACCTCAAACTTTCCAACCATGGACAATATGGGTGGGGAGTACAACCATTTCTGGGACACCTTCTTCCAAAACCAAGAGCTTGATAGGTAAACACAACTCACAAGATTTTCCTTATTCTCCATAAAGCAGTTAATCAACCGTTCATCATGTTGGTATATATAAACATAAGGGATATTGAATTACTAATTAAAAGAATTTGGTGATTGGACATGCAGCTGGGCAATGGATGAGGCGGCGATGTCCGGGTACTATGATTCAAGCTCTCCGGACGGTGGTGCTTCATCGATGGCATCAAAGAACATTGTTTCGGAGAGGAATAGGAGGAAGAAGCTGAACGAAAGGCTCTTTGCGCTTAGAGCCGTGGTCCCCAACATCAGTAAGGTATATATGCTAACAGTGCTGACAAACCCCACCTATATAACTTAGTGTTGTTCATTTCGCTTTCAGAAAAAGTAATGAGCATCTAGCAGCTAGCTAGTATAGGAGACAGGTGGCAGACACGTATTAATTTGGTTGTTGATGGCGAATTTTTACAGATGGACAAGGCTTCTATCATTAAGGATGCTATTGAATACATCGAGCACTTGCATGAGCAAGAGAAGAGAATCGAAGCAGAGATTTTGGATCTGGAATCTGGGAAGCTCAAGAACCCAACCTATGAATTTGATCACGACCTGCCTATTCTCCTCAGGTCTAAGAAGAAGAGAACGGAAAATTCCCCAATTGAAGTAATCGAGGTATAGCTCATCACTCTTTTCTGCATTTCATACTCACTCATGTGTTATAAACTCATTGAGATGGTGAATGGCAGCTGAGGGTTGCATACATGGGAGACAAGACGTTTGTGGTGAGCTTGACATGTAGTAAAAGGATAGACACAATGGTAAAACTGTGTGAGGTCTTCGAATCTTTAAAGCTGAAGATCATTGCAGCCAATATCACTTCTTTTTCAGGAACACTTTTGAAGACAGTCTTCATTGAGGTTAGTCTCCCACTTTTCCCTTTTGCTAAATTTCACTATCACTTATCTCATAATTAACTTTCTGAATACATTAATCCAGAAAATTTTATTTAAATAAATCCTAAACGATAAGCTTATAGATTTTAAACCAATTCCAACCTAAAAGCTTAAGCCAAATACCTTAAGATTTAGTCTGTTATAATCTTTCTGCTTATACATATTATTGGTCTGACTTATTTTAACCAATAGTAATCGTGTTTATCGTCTCAATCAGCATGCATAATGTACTGATTATTGGGAAATGAACCACTTTAGTAAATTGGAAAAGCCGCAGAGTATTTTAGGGACCTGTGTTTGACAGTGGATGATGCAAAAGCAAGGAAGGAAGCATGAATAAGTGAATATCTTCTCTCACCTATTCATACTATCTGTTGTGCCAACTTTAATGGGAGAAGGTTTTTGATGTTTGAAAAAAATGTGTTTAACGCGATGTTCTCCCAATTTGAGGTGTCTGGGATAAAAGAAAAAAAAATATATGTATATATATATATATATATATATATATACATATATATTATTTTAAACTTGTAAAAAAAAGACAAATAAAAAAATAATAAAACAATAGGAAAAATTATATTAATATTCACGTAGTAAATCCACCATTATGATTGTCTTCTCAAGGTCAAGGATAAGCTGGATATTTTATCATCTTATTGTTATCGAGAAAAGCAAGTAATGCAAGAAATTTAGTCCTTTTAATATTTAAGTTTGAACCTTATGAATTTAAAAGTTTCAGCCTAGCTAATTTTTTAGAGGCAAGCATTTTTTTTCTTCAATCTTTCCAAAAAATAATTTTCAAATTAACCACTTGAAACTTTAAATTATCACAATGTTAACATTTTGAAGTTTTTTTCTAAGTCATTCCTTTAACTATTAAATCTATAATAAGTTATAATCAATTAAAATTTTGAAATATCACCATATTTATTTTTTTGGAGAGCTGTAGTGATAACATAAAAAAATTTGATGGATCAAATTAATCTTTGAGTCTAGTGTTTTTAATAAAAAATGTTAAAGTAATGGTAAAATGTCTTTGAAGAACTAACTAATTTGGTCTTTAAAACTCTTTGAAGACTACCTTGATAGTTAACAACTTAAAAAAAAAAACTAAACTAAGAATTGTTGTTCATCAGAAAGACTGTTGGAGGAGGAACTTTTCTTCCTTACATAAATTCAGTGTCAACTAATTTATGTTCAATTAATTCTCATTTAACAACACTTCTAATACTGTCTTTGTCATTTTTGTCTCTTCCTTAACTATTTTTTTTTCTAATATTAGGATAAAATATAAGGAATTGTATATAATTATGGGTTATTTAATAATTTCAAAATATCTCACTGCAGTAGAACTACATTGATTTTAGAAAATAGCACAAAATTAGCGTTTTATTAAAATTAAGTCAAAACAGAAGTGACAACTAGCAGTCAAAACAGAAGTGACAATTAGCAACTAATAAGTTGATTAGCGGCGCAGGATTTTATCCCCGAACGGAGATAAGTGGCGGATGTCTATATGGTTATATATTTCATATTTTTAAATTTGTAAAATGTTAACCTTTAAAATATTCATACATAAAATAAAGAAGAAAAAATATTGAAAATAAATTATTAATACATTAAAAATAGTTACACAAATTACTACCTCAGTATACACTTACACTTCATCTTTTTATACAATTTTGTAGTTTATGTTATTTCTCCAATATTATTATTCTTCAAACCATAAAATACACTTCAAATATAAACAATATATATATATATATATATATATATATATATATATATATATTCTAACTTAGATAAATTAAATTAATATAAACTTTAATTCATTAAAATAACGTAATATAGTAAAAAGTGTCCACTAACAAATTATATAATGTTTTTGTTTCTGTATTTCTATATACTTACTGGCAGTTGGTGATAGAAAAATTAAGTTTGGCTCTTTGGATTTGGTAGATTATCATAGGATTTTCCTTTGTTGGAGAAGATGTTTTTTCTTCACATTGTTTAATATATACATATATTTTGTTTCTCATCCATTACTTTTGGTGAAATTAAAAAGACAAAAGAAGAAAAACAAAAGGCACTGTACTGTGCATGCTTTTGAAAATCAATTCATCCTTTCCGTTTTTTCCTGTTGTAGGGTTCTGTGTTGAGGCAGTGATGCCTGACCTAGTTTTAACTTTCACTTTTACGTAATGAAATCTGAATCATGCAATAGCCACTATATATATATAAAATTTATTTTTTAAGATTTATTTTATTAGAATACTTGACCCAATCGAATAAAATTTAAATCGTATACCTTTCAAGAAAATTCTTATAATTCAGAATAGTAATCACACTTGATCTAGGTACAAAAACTGATGTATAGGAGAGGTAAGAAGTATAAAAAGAATCAAAGTGGCCCCATTACTCTGAAAATTTGGAGCAACAACGCATTCCAGAATGATTATAATGAAACATTGCTGTCTGTTTTGTTACATTGTATCTGGACTGGACCAGTCGTTCTTTGCATTTTTCTTCAAATGCAAATAATCTATTTCTCCTTCTACCTAGTAAGAGAAAGAGAACATATTCAGGAAGTTCTCACTTCCCCACCAGCCAGATTCAGTTTCTCCGAAATTTCTAGGTGGGAAAAACAGGAAACAGAACTGTTTTGTTTCCTGTTTTTATAATAGTACGAGTTGAAGAAGACAAATTCCAACTTTAGAATAATATTTGGTTGGTAGATGCAGTGCCCGTAATAAGAAAAAAGACCAAGAATTGAAAACGTGCTTTGCATTCTGAAAAGAAAATGAGAGCGTCTTCCTCGCAAGGCATCACGCAGTACAATTTTCAGCACGTTTATTTGAAATAACACTGTTGATTTGATTTTAGAAATAATTCGTATCCTATATTAGGATATGTTATAGGTTTTGTGGCTGACACAAAATTAATGTTTCTACACTCGCATTAGCGATTAGGGTCTCAAATCTCCATCATTTCTCGTCAATTTTCAGATGCTAAAACGTTTGATGATCTTCTTTTTCTTCCCATTTTCAACATAAAATGATTGCGATGACATATAGAGCGGTAGGGATTCACACTGATCATCATTCCGTTTATGAAATGGATCCTCTCAACTTAACTTTATCGTTTTAATTTGACTGAAGATCGAATGAGACGCCCTAAATATTCATTTTAGGGTTGCCTGTTGGTGGAACTAATTCCAACCATTTCTTCCTCAACATTTTTACGATAACAATTTTTGAAAAATGAAATCTTTCGTTAATTAAAATTAACTCATTGTCATGTAACAAATAAAAATTTAAACAATTATATATATTTTTTCTATTAATTAATTTAACTCATAAAAAAAATAATGTTTCTTTTACTTCTCTCTTAAAGGAAAAAAAATCTGTCTAGGCAATTATTTTATAAAAGAAAAATACAATTTTTTTTAGTGTTCTTATTTAAACTTTAAAGGATAAAAGTCCAACATAGAAATCCAAATGTAATTATGAGATTGTTTGTTTATCTTTATCACTTCTCGAATCTGATGTTAATACTTAAGTAAGCTTACTGCATAATTGATTTATTTGTATATTTTCATTATTATAGCTATCTTTAAAATATGCACCACCCCGTATAAGCAAATACTAATGAAAATTAAGTTAAGAATTAATAAAAGTTAAGTTAGTGCATGTTTTTCACTGTTTATATTTTCTGTGTAGATAAAAAGAATATCTGTAAGTTAACTTATGTATCGATAGAACTTAACGTAATGTTGACTCAAGTTATTTTAACTTTGATTTTAATTGAATTTGAAAATACTTTAAAATTTAAAGAGAAGATTATTTCAAAAGTAAATGAAATAATTTTTTTAAACAAATTACGTACCTAACTCTAATTTTTTATTCTAAAGTAGTTAATGTAAGATAATGAAATGAAGATTTAAATCCAAGAAAAAATATATTAAATTTACGAATAGTTATATTTTAATAATTTTTATTTTAAACTTTATCATAAAAGTAAGAAGAAGTAGTATATATACTTACTTAACGACGGTAATTACTCAATGACGTAGCTTTTTTTCGCGGTTTTTCTAATCACATGTAATGCACTTCTCGGAAGTTAAAATCGTTAAAAAAAACCCTCGAAAAAATTATAAATTTTTATAATGTATATCATAAGTTAAAGTAGCTTTTTAATTATATAGATTGTAATAGCGACAGAAAGAGAGGTTGGTCATCATTGGGACAGTGGTCAAGTCAACTTAACTTTCCACAAAGCAAAAGAAAATTGGTTTTGAACTGATGCATTGGAAATCAATAATGTGTACTTAATTCAATAATTGAAGTTCTAATCATACCGATTAGGAAGCGAATTGGTCGAATCCAATGCAAAAGCCTATCATTAATTGAAAACGTTCTTTAGACCTTTATCTTCACCGTATTGATTATTAAAGCTTATCAAGTAGATCAATGAAAAGATTGATGTTTGATGTGTTAAAATCTGATACTTATCATTCCGTTTTGAGTTGTTTTTTTAATTGTTTGATATGTTTTGCAGGCTGATGAAGAAGAGAAAGATGTTTTGCAGATAAAAATTCAGACAGCAATTTCAGCTCTGAATGGTCCTCAAAGCCCTATGAGTATCTGATTCTAATGAAAACGAGTTCGATCAAAGCTTAAAATGTTCTGTCGGGTGTCTTTTTTTAGTTATCAGTGTTCTTCTTTTTCATTTTCTGTATGCTGATAGCCTCTGACGCTGTAAGGCTTGCCTTCAATGGAATCCAATTTTCATATTTTCCACTAAAATTAGCTTTCAACGCTATTTCAATAATATTTTCTAAAATATTATTGAAGAAATAAATATTTAAAATAAATTATATAAATTTATCTCGTTTATTTGAGAATGTAAATATCTCACTTGGCTATTTAAATTTAAATATAATGAGATTAATTTTGAAAAACAACATTGACTAATTTATTGTTTTCAACTAATTCAATTGATCTTTTAAAAATGTGAATTAATTGAAACGGTATTATAAATAGGTACAAAAAGAATAAATAAATTATTTACTGAATTTATACACCGACTGCTACTAATCATGATTATTTTATTAATAACCTAATGTTTAGATTAAGTTAAGTAATAAGTCTCGATACATTTATTAATGAATGGAGGATGACAAAGTCTCGCATTTAACATGTTTTGGCATGGCATTCCCTCTCCTTAATTTAATTACTAAATAAAAGTTACATAATTATTACATTGCTATGTCCTCAGCATGTGTACCTTGTTAATGATTAGTTTGACTATTGTTTTTCTTAAGAAATTTGTGAAATATATAGGAAATATATGATTCTTCTATCTAAACAATTTGCAAAATAGTATTATAAAAGAAATTAATAAAATTTTAAGACTTCTTAAAGAGTTAAAATAAGTAATTAAATTTTACTAATAGTTCTTTAGAAATTGTGTTATGATTTATGTGCTTTGTGAAAATAATATTGAATCTTTCTCTTATTTGTTTATTATTTTATTGTTAAGTGGTTGTGGTTAGTGTCGTCAAAATGGGTTGAAACCCTGGCTCACTGTGGGTTTGAGGCGAGTTGGGTTGGAAAAAAATGCCAAAATTTTTATGCGAGCCAATTTTGACCCGGCCCACTAAGAACCCGGTTCACACAGGTTGAACCCGTGGTGGGTTGGGTTGGCTCATCAATCCACCTATTTTTTTAATTAAATTAAATTAATTATTCAAACCCTATCTTTTTTATTGAAATCAAATTAATTAAATTGTTCAAAATGCACAACATTTACTTAGCAATAGAGCCTTTCGCTGTCTTTCCAAAAGTTCCCCTTTGGAAATAAAACTCTAACATTATAGATGGAATAATATTATAGATGGAGATAAATAAGAAGATGCTTCAAGAGAACATAATACTGTGAATTTATCCATTCAGGACTCCAATTTAATAGATGGATAATTCAGGAATATATCATTTGTTTTATCTTGTTTTTAGACCTCTCTACAAGCATGACAATTTTATCTTGTGCTATATATTTTTGTTAATTGCTATATATAGTTTATTGGTCAAACAGTTGTGTATGTCTCATTAAACTAAATTGGCAAAATTTTATGTTTCATAGCTTAGAATATATATAACAATAAAAGTTAATTAAGTGAACCAATGAGCTAACCCGTTTAACCCACCAACCCGTGGTGGGTCGGGTCGGGTTCAAATTTTTTTGGCTTGCTAATAAATGAGTCGGGTTGGGTTGGTTCACTAAGTGGCCAACCCGTGGTGGGTCGGGTCGGATTACCCGTTTTGACAGCTCTAATTGTGGTAAAGGTTGAAGAGTGTTTTTGAGAAGTTGCAATTTTTCTTTTGATTTGGTTCTTCAATTTATGAATTTTTCTTATAAACTAAAGCAATTGTTATTGTTATAATTATCTTCACAATTTGAAGAATTAAAAATGATGGTATATTTCACGTTGCGATTGTTTCTTTTTATGTTATTTTTCAAATTAAGGAATTGAAGCATATTATTAGGAATAAATCTAATAAAGTGTATGAGTAATATTATTTCTGATTTTTTGTGCTGAAATGTTTCAATATTCAAATTAGGAAGGATAGGAACATTATATGACAAATTTCATATATTAATTGGCTTAAGCTGAATATTAATGGTTAGGGTTGTACTGATTTAGCTACACGTGTTGGTATTTTTAAAGGAAGTCAAGGTGTTGGCGGTTTTTCTGCTTTTTTAGGGACGCAAATTTCTATTTATGTAAGAGGTCATTTGTGTTTCAAAGTATGTATAGGGAGGACTTTTAGATACTTTGATTAAGAGTGATTTTACTTTAATTTGTCATAATTTCCTAAATCAATTAGTGCTTGCATCTGTGTAAACATCCAAAGTTCAAAGTTTCTAATAGTTTTTAAGAGAAAATCATTGTGTTAAGTTAACTAATTTGACTTTTATTCATAGAAAACAATGTTAGTCACTTAATGAATTTTCTTCATGAATTTTTTTAATGTTTTTTCTCAATAGGTATAGTTTGTTTATGTTTTATAAAGTATAATTTTTTATTATGACTTGGTGTGACGTTTCAATAAATTTAATGTGAAGACAAATTATTGATGAAGTTGGAAATATCAATTGAGATATCAAAGTTCATAATGATGATTAATATAAACTTATTCAAAAATAAGTAACTTGATTTAATTGAAACATTTTGTTTAGTCTTTTTGTTTTTTTATTTTATCATTGTTTTAAATTGAGAAAAAAATATATTTTAATTCATATAACTTATCTAATTTAATTAATTTAAACTTAATAAGTACTTCAAAACAAATCAAATTGAATTACAATTTTTTTTAAATGGCTGTGAAGAATGGTTTTTTTTTTCTCTAAATCGTTTACAATTAAATTATAATCAAATAGTTTTCAAATTTATATTGTAGTTGCTCTCAAAGATGTTTTAATTTAACATTTGACTTATAACGCATTATAATTAATGCTTTTCATCACAGCATTTTTTTCCAAATTTTCAATTAATTAATAGTATTGATAAATGACCTTAGTTTTTCTTTCTCTATAAAAATAAAACAGGCAAATTGAAGAGCGGAAAATAATTATTTGAGTACCCATTTGATAAACTGTTTAACTTTTGTCACTTTGATTGTTTAGAGTTTGACAATAAAAATAAAGAAACAGAATTTTAAGAGTTCTGAGAACCCAACCAAGACCCACATTTATTTCTTTATTTTTACTCACAACTAATTCGATTGGGGAGACTTTTCCCACTTTTCTTAATGGCTGCTTCTTTAAACATGCATGTTTCATTTTCCATCTCCAATAATTTTATCTGCATCTCTAATTTCCAAAAATAATTTTATATTTTTCTATATTAAATTTTGAAATTCAACAAAGAAAATGAAAAAATTCTTCGCCAAATTTTAAAATTCGATGAAAAAAATAAAAAATCTTTAATTGAATTTTGAAATTTAATAAAATAAAATTTTCATCAAATTTGATGAAGCACAAAAAATGAAGTATGGAAATTTTTAAATTGTAAAGACAATTTTGAAATTTAAAAGAAAAATTAAAAATACAGAGTAAAATAATTGGAACTGCAGGGTGAAATATTAAACATTAACCCACCACAATAAGAAGAAAAAAAAAATTAGCAAAACTGTTATTCTTTCGGCTATCTGAGCTCAGCCCATCCTATTATTGTTTTAGAGAATTACTTTTTCGCCCCATAAATTTCTTCCTACACCCTATCATGTTTTTTAATTCCCTTATTTATTATCTTATCGCAATTTCAGCCATCACTCCATTCCAAAATTTGTATTCCGGAATAAACCATTTCTATTGACAGAAGCATATCTGGTTGAAGCTAAAAACACAACTCACACCATTAAAAAACAGAATCACAACAGCTGCACAGTGAAGAAGGTGGATGAAAAAAATAGGATTACATTGGAATTTCACATCAATGATGAGTGCATGAGGAAATTCTAGTGGTGCGGGAAGCAATTTGAGTTGTTTAATCCTTTCATGTTTCATTCTGTGGCCCAAACACTATTTTCTCCTGCTCTTGTACAAATTAAAGAAATTATTGATATTTGATCCACTCTACTTAAAAGAAAATATTTTTCATTAATTTATCAAAAGAACTTTAAAACCAATTACTTTAAACACAAATTTAATATATTTAACCATTGTATTAGTACAAATTACTTATTACTGAAAAAATGACAAACACTATTTACGAGCATAAATCTCCAACATTCGTAAAAACGTAAAAATATTACTTTTTTTTTTCTTAACTTAAAAGAGAAGAAAATAAGAGCTAAATTTTTACTTGAATTTTACATATTAACTATTTCTATTTTTTGACGCATGTTTCAACAAAAGTAATGAATATAAGACACAAGTCATTTATGTTTTTCTAGCAAGATTAGTTATAAAAATTTGTTAAATTAATTTCTACAATTTTCCACAGTATTTTTTTTTATATCTCTCTATCGTCACATCATTTTAAAAAAAATGCATTTCCAGTTTAATTTTAATAAAGAAAACATTAAAAAACTCTTTAAAATGTATATGATGTTTACTTAATTTTATTCAGGAGTTTATATTTTTTTTTTTGTAGAATTTTTTTTCTTAAGTTAAATAAAAAATAATAATTGTCCTACCACATAAAATTCTCAAATAAATGATTTTTTGAAGTTGAAAAATTATTAAGAAACCTCTCTAAATAAATATTGCTTTACATACACAACGACATAACAACTAATAAACTGTTTTTTTTTTCTTTCTCAAGTATTTTTTTTAAAATAATTGCTTTGATTTTGACGGTAATTTTTATGATTTTGTTTGTTCTGGGTGAATAATGAAAATTTATATTCTGGAAATTAAATGTAAAAAATTGAAGCAAAGCTGAAGAGATTTATGTAATATTGAGGTTTGGGTTGGGTAGGGTTTGAGGAAAATAGGTAATAAGGTGTTGTTGTTGTTGTTGTACTCTCAATTCGCAATTGTTCCTTGTCGTTGTTGTAATGGATTCTCTACTAGCAAACTACGCCTCTTCAGATGAAGAGGAAGAACAGCAACAGCCAACCCCACCCAAAACGACGACGTCGTTTTCCTCTCTTCCTCAACCTAAATCGTCGCTCTTTCAATCTCTTCCACAACCAAAATCGTCGTCTTCTCTCTTTCAATCTCTTTCTCAACCCAAATCATCTTCTTCTTCTCTCTTTCAATCTCTTTCTCCGCCCAAAAAACCTTCCCTCGCCACTTCCAGCGAAACCGCCAACCCTAAACCTAAACCCCAAATCCCAGAACCACAACCCAAACGCGTCGTGCAATTCAGGCCCCCGATCATCCCTCTCCCAAACCCTACCCAACTCCTCGACGACGACGACGACGACGAAGAAGAAGAACGAGAGAGAAGAAAGAAAAGGTCACTGTCCTCCACGCAAACCTCCTCGGTGAAATCCTTCCTTGCCAGTATTCCGGCGCCAAGGAACGCTACCACTCTCGGTGTTCAAGCGAGTTCCGGCTCTGGTCGGAGATCCATCATCGAAACCGAATCACCGGCACTGGAAACGGCGTCGAATTCTGGCGGTACGAGCAGTCTCAGCGTGGATCAGAGTGGAGGGGATTATGAAAATTATGAGAATTACCAATATGCCACTGACCAGTATGCTGGTTATTACGGCAATTATGGATCGGGTTCCGACCCTGAGGCTGGGGCTGCTGCTTATGGAACTGAACAGTATGGGAATTATGGTGAGGCCTATGGGGATTATGGACAGTATGGGAACAATTGGGGTGAAGTTTCAGCGGCACCGGTGCCGGAAGCTTCTGGGATTGGTGACAGTGTGGTGAAGATTCCTGGGAAGAGAGGGAGGCACGAGGTTCCCACGGAAATTATAGAGGTGAAGCAAGATGAGTTGATTAAGAATCGGCCGAGAGAGGACCAGGTGAAGCTAACTGGGATTGCTTTCGGACCAACTTATCAGGTATTCTCATTTCTGAATTTGTGTTTTTACATGTTGAGCAGTTGTTTTAGTTGGCTGTAAGACTGGGTATTAATTTTTTTTTGCTAGTTATGTAGTGCCCTTTTAGTATAGTGCATGGGTGACTGCTGGCTGGGGGGTTGAAAGTTGTTGTAAGAAAATAGGTTTGTGAGATAATTTAGCCTGCTTGACGTGAAAATATATCTAGATAGTAGGAGATTCAATAGCCTACTGGATCACGTGTAGTGTAAAGTACTGATACTTATATGGGTTCTAGAGGCAGTGATCGGGGTAGTAGAAGGCTTTAAAATCAGTGTCTCACATTTTTGTTAGCAGCAGAGCAAATTCATGACTTTCAAAATAAACAGCAAAGAATAGTAGACCTGAAAAATTTTGGTATGTGAGAGTTTTATTGCATTTGGCTGGAAGAAACACAATATACTCAGACATCTACGAAGTTGTTTATAATATCCCAATAGAGATATTATTCTAAGGCATTGGGAAATTGGATATGTTTGATTGTCAATCTCTGTCGAGGAAGTTTTTTTAAAGCCCCCAGTTAAATTGAGAGATGAGTGTACTCTTGGATTTTGTTATGTTGAAAATTAGTGAAAAGTTTATTGGGTACAGTTCCTAGAATATGGTTGTTGACCTATTCCGATAGCTTAAGGGACATGGAATAACAGTTCTATAGTAATTGCATGCAAGAGGCCCTCTCTGTACCTACTAACACATTAATTCCTCTCTCTAGTTCCCGAACAAATATTGGGTAGAAGGGGGTTTTCATAGATTAACTCATTAACCTTGGGAGATTAATTATTGAGAGAGATTGATGACCAGTGGAGTTCCTCAGTGAATATAGGTTATTGAAAGATTTTTATAGATAGCCATAGCTGTTTTTTTATCGAACCCTCTTGGTCATTATTCTCCCAAGAACTTTATGGGAACAGATATAACGTGCATAAATAGCTTTGTTATATTGATTAAATTGTGAACACTATTTTTAAATGTCCGTGCTCAAGTTTTATTGTCAATTTGGACAACAATAAACGCAGAGACTAGCAAGTGCATACATTAATGATGATATCTCATCAGTCATGAATATGGCTGAGTCTTTAACATTAATTCACATTACAAGAATATTCACTCACCTTGAGAATACTGCATGTGTGAATGGTGTCATATGCAGTTCCCAAGTGGCAATGGTGTGCGGTTCTTTTTTTGGAGATCACTTCTCATTGCAGTTGCTTACCTGAGGTTCTATATGTTTTTATATTGCCAAGCATCTTTTGTGTCAGGTCAGGTGGTTTTAAAGTTAATCATTCAACCTATTAACAATAACTTGGAGGAAGTAGGGTGACTTAAATAAGATTTATTCCTTCTACATAATTAGAATGGTGTTTTCAAGACCCTTGATCGAGTGAGATTGTATAATGCTTGTCCTTGTTGAAGTGAGTCAACGAGACATCATCCTCATTTGTTTTAGTTAGTATGCTCATATATCAAGAAACTAAAACTTGAACTATACATGGGTAATATGTTCCGTGGCTTGTATTCCTATAAAGTAAAGAGATTAGTTAGATGGTAATTCTGATCATTGTTACATAATGTCAAATCATTAAAATTCCCGCTACTTAAATAGTGATGTATCGTTAGATGCCACTCTCTATTTATGAAGTTAAAACGGGACTTTAATATTATTGCCATCTAATGTCAAATAACTTTATAGCACCAACATAAGGCAATAATGTGGTGTTTTTTGACCCCTCAGCCATCAGCAATTTGCAAAGGGAGGCCAACTATAGTGGCCCCACAGTATTTGGTGGACTTTTGACCGTCCACCATAATTTTCAATCCCTATTAATGATGGTGCACATCTTACTAGGAACTTGCAGGGTCATACACGTAGACTGGGTTGGCATTGTAATTTAAATGTATAAGATGAATTTAGTCTGTAGTTCAATTATAATTAAGACTACTAATGAGGGTATGTAGGTGTGTACAAACTCTACATAACCTTGACCTAGATCATATTATAATATATATTAGGCTTAAATACCTACTTAGTCCCCGTGTTAATAGCTGAATTTCCGTTTAATACCCGGTTTTAAAAATGAAGACATTAGGTCCCTATATTATGAAAAGTGTATGACTTTAGTCCTGTCCGTTAAGTTGGTAGTAACGGTGTTAACTCCGCGCTGACGTGGCTACGCTTCTTTTCTGTCTCCTCTGCTCTTCCTGATACCTTCTGATTTGCTCCTAAATTCCTTCCATCTTTTATATTTGTTTTGTCTGTAATTGGCAGCCCCGTTTTTAGGCAACTTCTTCCACAATTTGCTGAGTCTTGGACGTGAGAAAATAAGGTGAGGGCCCCTCCATTTTGCAAACTCTCTTGTCATGTTCTGCACCTTGCAACCGTGGACGACCTTCCATACTCTTCTTCCTTCACACGTTGCACACCATTCCAGCCGTGGGTTCCCTTCTCCATTCCAAGAATCTACTCTTCTCCTTCTCTTTGTTGTGCATACCATTCCAGCCCCTTGCTCACGTGAATTTCCTTCCAGCCGTGGCTTCTTTCTCCATTTCAATCAGCCGTAGCCTTCTCATGCTCCCAAGCTGCTGGACATGGAGATAGCTGGACTACTCTTCTTTGCATAGACCAAGACCGTGGAGCACCTTGGTGCTGGACTCTGCTGCCATGTACTGCTGCAGCTGTCCGAGAGCTTCTCTTCTTCTAAGAAAAATCAATGGACAATGTGCTCTCTTCCGTGTGCTGCTCTTGATAGCTGGCTGCTCCAAAGCTTTGCTTCTCATGGACCCTTTTGGATGAAGATTTGAAGGAGTGCAGATCTTGTGTTGATGTCCGCATGCAGCCCTCCATTGTGTTTCTCTTCAAAATGAAGATCACTTGCAGCCATGGGCCGTGGCATGCTTCTCTGCTGCTGGACCTTCTTTCACCGTGTGCAAG